TGTGATGCCCACCCTTGCGTGTGAACATCACAGCCTCTTGAAGTGGCCTCTCCAGTTTGGACTGGCATCTCCAGCAAAGTTAAATGCACAGGTGCAGTGAGCTCTTTCCATGCCCAAGGCAGAGGTGGTGATGGGGGTGGAATTACGCTGCGCTGGAGACCTGGAGGGGAAGGAGAGTCTTACCTGCCCCAGCTCTCCTCACTCAGATACCAGCATGGGCTCCTCGGGGGCTGCCCCCAGTGCCCTGTTTACTCTCCTCCGCCGATGTAGAGCTGTGCCTCCCATGGCCAAGCCTTCCTGGGGTGGGCAGGGAAGAGGGGCATCATTCCACCCCCATCCTCCCCAAATATGCTGCTGGTCATGGCAAAGTCTCCTGTGGAAAGGGGTCCATTCTGCCACCCCCTCTAAGTCAGCACTCAAGACTTGTGCCTCTCTCCTAGCTAAAAGCAACAGCTGAATATTTTAAAAGCACCTGAGCCAGGGGAGTATCATTCCAAGGCCTAGAGGCCCCTTGACAATCCTACCCTAGTATGCTAGGAACATAGGAGGATATTTTCAAAGGGCCTAGACCTTCTTGGTGCTTCTGGCACCTGCACCTGTACAAATGAAGCCTGTTGCGAGGTGTCTTGAGCTGAAAATTGAGACACATATTTAACATCTGTTTTTCAAAATCTTGTCCATAGTGATTATACTAGTGGAAACACCATGTTCCTTTATCTGTCCATCCATCCATGTGTCCATCCCCTCCTGCACTGCTTTTTTGCACTCTCTAAGCTGAGATATAATAGAGGCAGACTCACACCCAACTCAGCAAGCCTGCCTGAGCTCTTTCAATCCTCAGAAACCTGAACCCGATATTGCACCCTTACGGATACAATCTTGGCTCTTCTAAATCAATGACAAAAGTCCATTTGACACCACTGGGGAAAAGGGCTTCCCCAACAGATAAACAGCCTTGAATTTTTGGATACGGCATGCCGGCCTACCTGTTCGCGGAGAGGTAGGCAGTCAATCAGAGGGAGAGGGAAATAATCAGCATATTACTTCTATTCTCTCTGTTTCCTGTGTTCCAACTCATCTGGCTACATTCTCATGTATGAAGTAGCGTTGTAACCCGGGGTGACCCATGAGCTGGCTTTATGCTGGAAAGATTAATGATAGGATCCTGTCAATAAATCCATAAAGACCAAAATCCCAATGATGAACATTCGGAAGGAAAAGGCAATGGTTAATATCTACAAAATAGGCCCCAGAGCCTTTGCGTACAGAGAAAGAGCAAAGCAACAGTGACCCTTGTTAATCTTTTTATTGGCTCAAGCAGCTATTGGCACCTTTCGTCAGCCGGAAATTTGCAAGTCTTTGGGGAGCAATGATTTCACAGTCAGGGGGCCCGTTAGAAGAAAAAAAATCCTTTCGCTCCTAAAATGGGACCATTCTTCCAAATGAAAATTGACATTTTCGTTTGAACTTTCCGACCTCTAGTAATCACACTAATGGTGTTAGATGGCTGGAAGAGGGGAGCTGGCTGATGGGCCTGTATAGATCCCTGAAGGCGAGGGTGGGAGCAGGGTATAGAAGAGGTTGCTAACATTGTGCTCTAACTGGCCAAGGCATCGCACCGTTATTTTTGGAGACTGCCAAAAATCTCCCCAGGCTTTCTTCTGAATCAGGTTTGATTGGCAGTATTGGCAAAGTCATTGGGAAAGCAATCACTGAGAGCTCCCTCCCTCCATCCATCTATACAGAGCCGTCAAAGGTAACGAGCAGCACACAGCGCTATCTGATTAGCAGAGAGGATCTCAGGAGCCAGCCAGCTGGCAGCAGGCTCCCAGGGCAGACGGCTTACTCTCAGTCTAAGGTCTGGGGAGGGAAAAGAATATAAGTCTGGGAATTTCTCTTCCCTTAGGTCAAAGGCACTTTTTCAGGCAGGTTGCTGTGTTTCAGGTACCAATAAGGCTTCTTCTAATGAGCAATAGCATCAGCTTCCCCTCCAGTTTCCTCAAGTCACTCCTCCACATCTCCCTGTTCTGCCCAAACAGCTAGGCTGTGGCTGCCTGGGTCCGTCTAGGAATGTGTGCGCAGATAAGTGTCCGCAGAGTCTGTGGCAGGTGGTTGGAGCGGGGGGGGTGGCTGTGCTCCCAACCCCTTGGCTTTTCACTGGTACTAAAATGCCATGAGTACTTTTGTTTCCTCCTGAAATTTCCACTTGGCAGCAGCCTGTTGGCAGAGCAGCACCAGGCTCGGAGGTTCACCCGTAGCCGACCGCAGGGGAGACCCTAGGCCTAGCGGGGTTTTATTGGTGTGGCATCTGGATGGAGGAGAAATGTGACTACTTGCCTGCTTCACAGGCTGGTTGGCCATTGCTAGGCTTTGGCACAAGTACAGCAGTGCCAACAACAAGCTGCTATGAACCACGACTCAGCCCGGGGTGGTTTCAGAGGACTGAACTTCATGCATGTGAATTGTAGCTTGCACCATTCCACCCTGTCCATGCCAGGGGCTGGCACCAGGGGGATGACTGAGCTGAAATCCATGCAGCTGAGGCCCACGTGCATGGGTTCAGTGCTACATCCTTCCTTGCACTGGGAGTGTAACAGGGGCACAGGAGACCACGAGTGACACATTCCTCCAGTTGGTCAGTATAAATCTGGGGGTGCTGGGCACTCAAGACCACAACTGGCAGGACAGTTATTTTTCCCCTTTTAGCTGAGGATCACAGCATGCTTTAAGAAGCCCTTGCAGTCCCTTTACTTGGGGAAACTGAGGCACAGAGCAGCTCAGCGGCTCACTCTAGGTTGCACAGCCCCTCTACAAGGTAGGTATTACTTGTCCCATTCTCCAGCTCCTCAGTATTGGAAAGAAAAGCCCCTTTTGTGGAAGCAAAGGCACTTGAATGTCTCACTTCTTTAAATGAAGGACAAACAGCATTGGCAGGGAGAGGAGTTTTCTCCTGATGTCAGCCGTAGAAGAGAGCATGCCAGACATACAAGATTGGAGGGGAGTGGGTGAGGGGAAACAGCAGAGCAGAGGCCATAAACATGATTGTCCATGTTCCACACAGACTCTCCCCAGGTAACTTTTAATTTCCCAGCTAAGTCATCATAATGAATAATGCTGAGTGCTCGATTGCACTTTCCATCTTCCAAGTGCTTTACAAATATTAACTCTAGTTTAGTCTCAGGCATTTAAGGTATTGGCTGAGAATACAGGATATTGCATGCTGTATCTTCTATTGTTGCCTGGTTTTTTTTCTTTTGCTGGGTAGAAAAATAATGTACATCGAATATATAAACTGAACCCCCACCCTTAAGCCAGCACAGAGTTTATTGACCAGGAAGAACATTAGGCTGGCCTGACTGACAACCCATATAGCTCAAAATGATTCTCCTGGCTGATTCAGCAAAGGGGAAGGGGGCGTGCGGTGGGACTGAGTCACTTCCATAAAGAAGCCCCTCATGCCTCTAAAAATGTTTCGTTTTATCGGCTTGTCTCTGGGTTGTAAAGTTTGAAAAATTTTAAACGTATTATTCTTTCCTTGCAATACATTAGGGGGCAGCGCCGGGGGCTCGGTGACCTTTCAGGGCCAGGCAATGAGTCAAGCAGTAAAGACATCACATCTTCTCCGCTGCTTAAGCTACCCTGGGAAATCCAGCTAGATGTTGCAAGCTGGTGGTTAACTTCACGCATTTTATTTATAACGCAGGAGTGCAGCAATACCATAATTATGGGGAGCAAAGGCAGGGAGATTGCCCTCCAGAAGGACGGAGGAGTCTTCTGGACCCACCACTTTCTCCAGACAACACATTGGCATTGAGAAAGGGATGAGGTGAATATTACTCATCTCTCTTTTCATAGAAAGCTAGGCAAGAGAAGGCCCAGGTTTCAGCCTGCGTTGTACTGATGACTTGGGTAATGTTGAGTAATCCCTTCACTTGTTTCTCCAGGTGTGAAATGGGGATGAAAATACTCTTATCTTCTTTTGTGAAGTGCTCTGAGATTTCAGTATTTCTATAGGGTATAGTCAAGAATGACTTGAGAGAGAGACCAAAAAGATGGAGAGGTTTCTCCTCTGCGCAGGGAGACAGTGACAGAACTGTGAGAGCTGCTATCAGGATATTATATAGCACCTGAAATGGAAACTATGAACTCCTTAGACTGGCTCAATGACAAGAATTGGGTCTGAAAGTCAGGACTCTTGGCTTCAGTTTGTCTCCACTCTGGCCCTGGTTTACGTTGTGACCTGGTTTGTAAAGGGCTTTGATTCACCTCGATGCAAAGTTCTGGATAAATGCAAAAAGTTATTATTGCTGGGGAGTTTATCCTGCTGGGCACATGCTCTCCACCAAAGCAAACTCTGAGATGGGTTTGTATGACCCCTTAAATATAAACTCTGCACAATGTGTGCCATGCCAAGGCTGCTGTCACCATCTGACCTCATAATAAAACAGAGATTCCCTTTGCCCAAGACTTAACATCTCGAGATTAATCAAGATAGGGTAAAAGTTCCTCGCTCTTCCAGTGAACACACACCCACCACACATCTGCACCGCCTGTCCATCAATCTGCTTCATACAAAGGACTGATTTTTAAGTAGTATTGAATAAATTTAAATGAAGTTCCTGCTGTCTAGAGGCGTTATGCATGGCTTCTTAAACCAGTTGCCCTAAATTTCCTGATGGACAGCTGCGAAAGCACATGGCTGCCTTGGGAAGACCTGCCACCAAACTTACCAGAAGAGGCTGGCTTCCTGTTGTATGGGGAAGTATGGGAGTCTTGTGATGAAGGCAATGTGCTGCTACTCAGGAGAGCAGGACATCACTCCAGGCTCTGCCACTGCCTCTCTGTGACCTTGGGCAAGTCACCTCATCTCTGCATTCCACTTCTGTAAACAGGAGAGTATCAGTAAATACCTTTCCTCTCCCAGCTTTTTGGGGAGGGACTATTTCTGATGACATGTCTGCGTCACCTCCATGGTGAACCCAAGGGGCAACTTCCCCAAAGCCTGGAAGTTAAACAGAGGAGCCTGCATAGCACAACCCTGAGCCTGCTTCTGGAGCGTCTTGATCTCTGACATGCATCTTGGTGCTCACCCAGGGCTGCTCTAAGTTGGTGACACTGCCTCCTTCATGGCAGTGAAGCCATGAAGCCACCATGACTGTGGTGCTTGCTGGGCATGTGAGTGGGGAGGAGAGAGACTCGGTGCTCCCAGGCTCAGGAGTGTAGACAGGAGCACTAGGTGCCTAGGCATGGCTTGGTAACCCCTGGCACAAGGTGCTGAGGCACCCTGTCTCTGGGGCGTGCAGGGTTGCTCACCAAGGAGACTTGTGGCCTTGGGAGTCTGTCCCACTACAAACCATGGGCACAGCAAAGCTGGCATAGAAATGAAGCACTATGGACAACACCTTCCCTGTTCCCTCCCCTCCTGGCTGTGGGCCTCACTGCACTGTGTTCATGCTAAAAGCGGCTGGCCCGGTTGGCAGCAGGCAGGCCTGGCTCAGCCCCTGGGCTTCTGAAGACCAGTCTGTTTTCCCTGTCCTAGCAGCACAGATATTTCTTCCTCACTCCTCCATCCTACGTCTGTGCACGCCTGCTAGATTCAGAGGATGCCGCCTTGTCTCTCTCCCCCAAGGGCCATGTATGCCAGTACCAAAGAGACAGACCACGTACTTGTTTTAGGCAGAGAGGGGCTTTGCAATTGGAACCAACTTTCCCCATGAAGTAAAATATTGCTCAAACACAACGGGGACAGCTCCTGCTGGTCCCTAGCCCCTGGCAGCTACACTTCAGCTCTCCCGTGGATAGCACGGGAATAGCAACCATGTAGAAAAAGTGCTCCAAAGCCTTCAGAGTGCACACAGCTATGATTTGTATGCATTATTGTCGGGGTATCAGGAATATGTGGTAACTAAGGATACAAAACGGTTATTTTTTCTATATATTTTAATACCTCATTTAGTAGGTTAATATTCTGTTATTTTAGTCCACTTTTTTTCCCCATACATCTGCCACCCAAGCCTGTACAGATGTTTCAGGATGCCTTAATCCTGACAAAGGACTTAGTGTTAAGGAAAAATGGGTTACATAAAGATTCTTATCTCCTTAAGGACTAAAGCATCTTTTGTGCATATTGTGTACAAAACAAGACTAAAATAGAGACCAAACATTTTGGGGCCACTTCCCAGATGGCCAAGTCTGAGGACCTGATCTTTGGTCAGATCAAGGTCTTTTGCCCTGTGTCTCCTGGAGAGATTCAGCCAAGGTGCATAATGTTACCACTGGAGCTAACCCAGCCACAAGAGCGGGATCTCACTGCAAAGGTGGGTCATGATTTGACCACACTGTGGTTTCAAGCTCTTTTTCTTGACATCTGTTGGTGACTGTGTGGTTCACACAATTGTTTGGGGAAGAGCCTTCATTGCTAGATGGCATGAACCAATCTATTTGCACTCCTGCAGCCTCATGGAAGGGAAAGGAAAAACCAAAGTGTGCAATTTCACTGAGCGTACTGTTTGAATGGCAGATTTTGAACCCCAAACACTCAGCAGAGGCTAGTGTTGACTTTTAGGATTGCCGAATCCATTTGGGAGAATGGTGATTAGTTTGTACCCACGCAGGGAACAGAGGAAAGGGGACAGATCTGAGATGTGACCTGGGATCAACAACTGTTTGGACCAATTCTGTCTTGGGCCAGATCCTCAGCTGGTGTAAAACAGCATCATTCTGTTGAGGCACCACTGATTTGCACTTGCTTAGCCTCTAACCCATAATGTTTAACAAGAGAGAAAAAATGCTGCTCTATATCACATTTACCAATTGAATCTGTGGTATGCCTTTCACAGATTAATTCATCTCTAACTACAGTCCCCACAATGCCTTTATAAGGAAAAAATAAATACTATCCCCATTTTACTGACAGGTAAACTGAGGCCCAGACAGTTTAAGTGGGGCAAGCCACTGACAGAGCCGAAAGCAGAATCTCAGCATCCTGAAAACCCTTCCCCCAGGTGAGTCGTTGGATTTGGCAGCAAACCACAGAGTTATGGGGGAAAATTGAACATTTATGGTCACTTGCATGACAGCGGATAATGTAACATTGCATTGGATTATCAGGTTTCCCAACAGGACAGAGCATTGTTTCACAACACAGACCACTTCTGCTGGCAGCTCCTACCTCCAAACTGGTGCTGTGTTCCCTGAGACAAACTTCCCCTGCCCACGTGTAAGACAGGGTTGTTTGTTGTAAATAAGGCAGCAAGTGCAGCCAGTGAAAAGTGTGGGGACAAAACACAGCCAAAGGTATCCCCCCCACCAGACACATATTGAGATAGCTAGACATCTGACTTCTTGTAAGTCTTTAATAACAAAGGATATTGAAAGCTTTGACCTATCCCATGATCTACTCTGCTGCAGAGGCTGCAGGATGTTTTAATTTACCGGACATGCCTCCAGCCCACCCAATGGAAACAATAGGCTTCCTGCAGGAGTATCATATAGGAGGGACGTGTGCCTCCCAGCCAGGGTTGGGTGGCCAGTTGGTCAGATCTTCCCAGGCACATGGATCTGCAGGAGTTCCCTCCACAGGGAAAGCAGCAAGCAGAGGGGGTGTCAGGATATCCCATTATCCAAGGAGCTACCACTGAAGCCTAGAGGAAAACTGTGACAGTGCTAATGTAATTGCAATCTGAGTCCTCCTTCCAGTGGCACCTTGTTTCCCAGAAGTGAAAAAGCACATCTTCAGTTGGTCTAGTGTACCCAACAGAGACAAGCCAGGCTGCAACATTCAGGGGGCCCATGTGTTGAAAGCCACCTTCCTTCAGAAAGCCAAGTGATGCATAAATTCATCAGTGGGAAAATATTAGGCCCATACCTACATTCCAGCCCAACATATGAAACTCAGCTCCATGCCACTAATGGGCTCATCTCTATATATCTGTTCTCATGGTTTAACTTTCACTTGCACATAAGTGGCTTTGTTCCCCCATGAGGGTATTTTAATAATGAGGAATGGTATAGCAGGGGGACACAAATTCTCCTGGGGATTAGTTCTGGAATGGGCTCCAGAAAGATGAACATATAGCAGAGAAATGGTTTGAAAACATGGGCACTGAAGCTGCTGCTGTTCTCTTGCTGACCAGGATGCATTGTGAATATACATGAGCCTAAATCATGGCTACGAATGGCAGAGAGAGCAGGGATTAACCATTCAAGAACCTGATAAAGGACTTGAGAATATAGTTAAGTAGTATTGTACCTAACTATATTCTAGTATTGTACCGAACTACAATAGTTAGATAGTATTGTAGGGCTTCCTTATGAGGAAGGTTGTGTATGGACACGATGATGAGAGCCCATTCTGGTCCCAAACAGCTTAAAATGCAAATAGACAAGATGGGCAGAATGAAGCTGCAATACAGCCAGGACCTGAAGCTAGATCTCCCGAGACCCAAGTGGCAACTTAACCAAAAATCACTCTTCCAGCATCTATGGTATTTCCAAAGCACCCATCACTATCCTACCATTGCTTCCTAGATAAAACCAGCTGCATAATATAGATTCAAGTACTGTGCTCGGGACAGGAATTTTTCTTGGTCCAGTAGCTGCCCAAGCCTATGTTTGTCTTAGTTTGTCAAGAGCAGTAAAGGTCACATCAATCCATACTTCTCTTTCAGTGCAGAAGTGTTGGGCTTGTTAGATTGACGTCCAGTATTTCATCCTGTAAAATTGACAAAGTCTTCACATTTTTGTGACTGCCTTGATTGATCCAGAAAGGCGCCGCAATCCTCCTGGGTCTGGCGCAGAACATCAAAAGAGCACAAGCTCTTGCTGCTTTAATTAAAATTTAGTTTAATTAAAAACCTTGAGAGCTTTATTAGACTCGGTAATTGATTTAATTTTCTTGCAGGATTCTATTACAAAATACTTCCAGCTTGTTTGCTTCTGAAGCCCTCCTCCAGGAGAGCGCTTGGCTCCATCTCATTCTCTAATGCGGCTATTTGCAGAGTGCAATCAAACAAATACTTGGTCAGAGAAGTGCAGGAGTCCGGTGTGACAAGCCTGCAGGATGGGGTGCAGGACAAGTTCTTCTTTAGAGATCTCCCTCACCTTTTTCCATCCTTCTCAAATCCAGAGCATGTCCTTCACTGAACCAGGTGGGCACCCCAAACACTACTCTGGGCCCGGCACTGCTGGTCACATACCCACAGTGACTTTAGCCTCCTTTCTGGCACCTGTTGAAAGAAGCTGTTGAAAGAAGTAATCCCAGAACCATGAAGATCACACAGATGACTTCTTACCACTTAGATCTGACAGGCCAGCTTCTTAACTGACTTTCTGTTTGTTGAATATGACGGGCCATTGTGCGACTGGGGTTATTCTATGTTCGGTCAATACAAATTCAGTCTGAGTTACACCAGTAGTTTTATCTCCAGGCAAGTCATGTCTATTGGGAAGATTCTTCCTTGGCTGCTGGGGAGGCAGCTGGGTCCACACGACTCAGGGTGCAGGGCATTTCCTTCAAGAGACTTCTGAGAATAAAAAGCCCCTCTGTGGCATCCTTTCCCTTCAGGGGGAGCGGCCCCTATTCTCCATCCACGACAAATGACTTCTGAGGACTTTTCAGGCAAAACAGACAATTTAGCCGTTCTGTTTCTGCTCAGTACTTATTGCTGGTGCATTAACTCGTGCATCGTATGGTCGACGAATCAGGTTCCTCTCTCTGATTCTACAAGCTAAGTTAAACTGGAACAACAGTTGGGTG